ACTTATTTTATAAAACTAATTTATAATTTACTTCTAACTTTGTACAATTTTCACAAATTTAATTCTTTTCTATATTTGTATAATATTTATAATTAATATTATTTATTATCTGAAACTAATAATTATTTATGAATAGGTTTCAATTTATATAATATAATTAAATTAATACTATTTAATCTACTACTAAACTAGAAAAAATTCTCAAATTTTACTACTTTTCTCAATATAATTAATCAATTACTTTTTTTTTAAATTAGATATTAATAATTTCTACAAAACTCATACTTTCTTAATAATATTTCACTCTTATTTAATATTGATTACAAATCAAATTATATTTATACTTTCAAAAACTTTATCAGCAAAGAACTTAATAATTACTTAATAAATCTAACTTATATATATTTAAACTTTTTGTTAAGTTTACAATTTGGTTTGTCAAATAAAATTTTATTTAAATTTGACTTGTTCATTATAAAAATTAAATAAAGCTCAAAAAATTCAACTTTATATTTGTTAAATTTCCAAAAAATATATAGATAAATTTACTAATTTAACTATTATAGTTCCAATTAATAATATTTTCAAAATTTATATAAAATTAAATTTCTATAATTACAAGTTTTTTATCTTAAATTATATTAATAATCAATATTCTAATAAAAAACTTGTTAATATTCAAGAAGATAATATAATTTTTTTAATTTATTTTCTTTAAGTAAAAGATAATTTATTTATTAATCTTATAAATTTTAGTTAATTATAAATATTACTTAAATGATTAGTTACATTATGATATTTATATAAAATTTTTAATAACTCTTTATCTTATTATTTTAATTTATAATTCTTATTTTGTAAATTAAATTAGTCTTAAACTTAAAATATAATTATATTATAGTATAAATAGTAATTATTTTATATTAATTTATAGTTTATATTTTTAATTATAACTTTACTTATAATTATTATAGCAAAATAAATATTTATTATATTATAACTAAAATAAATTAAAATTATAATAATTAAAAATTTTTTATAAAATTATATAATATTTATTTTATGAACTGATACAAAAATATTAATATATTATTTTACTATAATTTTTTATCAAATATAATATTTAAATTATAATTAATATATTTATATTTATATAATTTTTTATTATATATAAACAAAAATAAAAAATTTTATTAATTAATAATTATTTTGATTTATTTATATAATAATTTATAGTTATTTTTTATAAATTTTATAAATAAAATCAAATTTTTAAATTTTAAAAACTAGTAATTTAATTTTGCTAAAATTTAAAATATATTATATATATTAATATATATATTTTTTTAATATAAATTTATAAAATTATATATTTATAAAAAAATATTTTTCTTTAAATAATTCAAAAAGTTTATCTATTTAAAATTTATTAAAAAATAATAAAAATAACTAGTAATTTAAGTTTGCTAAAATTTAAAATATATATTTCCTTAATATAAAAATCGTATATTTATACAAAAATATTTTTCTTTAAAAAATTCAAAAAGTTTGTCTTATTTAAAATTTTATTAAAAGATAATAAAATAATAAAAATAATACAAATAATTAAATTTAATTCACTAAAAAAATTGCTTATTTAATTAATTAAAATTTAGAAATTTTATATAATTTTTAAATTTATTTTATATATTATCTAAAAATAATTTAAGCAATTTTTTAAAGTATATATTATAAGTAATTATATTATTTAATTTTTAATAATAAAAATTTTGAAATATATTATTATTTAAATATAAATTTTGTAATTATTTAAATAATTTAATTATTTTAAATTAATAATTTATAAATTATTTATTATATCTGTTTTTATTTAATTTTTTATAAAAATTATAATATTTTTATAAGTAAAAAAGTTAATTATAAATAATATGCTTTTCTTTTATAATTATGTAATAAAAAATAAAATATATATTTTTAAAAAATATATTTAAAATAATTTATTTTTAATATTTATATTTTTAGTAAATATTAAATTAATAAAGTAAAGTAAATATAATAAAAAACAAAAAAATTAACTTAAATTTAGTTTATTATAAGTATTTGATTTATTATTATAATATTAAATCTTTATATATTTTCTTTATTTAATTCAAATAAAAAATATTATCAATTATTATAATAAATAAATATTTATAAAAATATAATTTATTTGTTATTATAAAATTTAAAGTATTTTAAATAAAATTATTTTATATATAAGTATGAGCTATTTTTATATTATATATTTTATTAAAAATATTAGTTTAATTAACTTTTTATAGTTATCTTATTGAATTTAATAATAATTTTTTTATGAATATAATTAGAACAGGATTTTATAATGAATATATTTATAATGAAATATTTATAGTAAAATGCTTTTACTATAATTAATTATTAAAAAGAGTAATAGAATTTTGTATAATGTAACTATAGAAAGACTTGATTATATTCAAAAACTTTGCAAATCTTGAGTTTTTTATTACTTAAGCATAACTAGATATTTATTATATATATAAAACAGAAATTTATATATAAGAAATGATTAAAAGATTTTTATTATGTTCTTATATATATCACTTATAATTTATTAATTAAATAATTCAGAAAAAATTATTTTTTAATTCATACTAGTTACTAAAAAAAATGAAAAGAAAAAATATTTATTTTATACATCAAGATAAAATAATTTTTAGTAAGATAAATTTTGAAGTTTTTAATACAAACCAACTTTAATCAATACACTAAGACAGTTTTATTATTTAAAAATATTTTGTTTGTACGATTTAAATTTATTTTTTCAGAAAAAAACTGTAGTCAAAAGACATTCACCAGATTCTATACTTAATAAAACATAAGTTATGTAATTATTTAGTTATTTTTATTTCAATAAGTATACTCTACATTGAGATATGGATGTATGTTTAAATTTTTCGTATAAAGATCCAGCTAAAACACTTTTTCTTTGATGTGTAACATCATTGGAATAAAATTACGTGTTCATACTCATGATAAATTCCATGATTTACTGCATTTAATTTAGCAATTATGCTTACAATACAAACTTTGTGCAAAGAGCCCCGTTCCGTTCTATCAAGACATCATCACTCATTGTGTGGTCCTTCCTTTTTTGGTTTTTGTAAATACATAATTTTATGCATTCCAACCGATTCAAAAATTCGAAAAATCCTGAATGTATGCGCCTTGAATCACAATTTTGATGTTGGCTTCAATGACTTTTTAGGAATGAAACAATACAAAAAATCTGTGCATTCCGGAAGATGCAAAATTCGGGTGACCAACATTTATACTTGAGTTGCTCCCAATATATATATATATATATATGTATGTTCACATTTGTCTTTAGCCAACTTTGCCTTAGCCGAGTATAACTACACAATTACACATTAGTCTTTAGCCGAGTATACTGTGCAGATTATAGAATATGAAGCTAGCTTGAGAGATAACACAACATTTATCGTCATGCCTTGTTCTCGTTTTTTTATGAACTGCGTCAATTTAAATGCAAGGAGAAGACTTTTCGTTTCGATTATAAAATTACTTGAAGCAAATTTTCAATTCTAATGTAATGATGCATTTTTTCTTTATTGTTAGAATACATGTACATTATTTATTTATTCTTTCTTGTTGTGGCTTGAAGTCTTTTTTGGTTTTAGAAATAGTCTAGGGGTTGCCATGCATATTTAGTGTATTGTTCTTTTGAGGACACAAATATTCGCTATCTTTTTTGGAACGTATCCATTGTTCAATTTTTTTTATCTTACTACATGTAATTGGTTTGTATTTTAAAAGATATTTTAGGGATCTATTCATTTGATGTAACGCTGAATTTCGTCCAACATTACAAAGTTTCAATAACAACGACATTCTATCGCATCAACTTGCTTAAGTACAAATCACCCATGCGTACATGTACATACGTACGTACATGCAAATCATATCGATATATCGAACAACAAAAAAAATATGCCACTATATAAGAAATTTAATTACAGTAATTCTTATATCGATATGGGAACAATGCTATTCGTTTTTTCTCGTAAAGTATTGATAACGATGAATAATGGTCTCTGACACAAATATAAATTCTGAAATCCATAATGGATCTTAACATTTCCAGAAGAATGAACGTTTTAGAATTATTTTGAAGAACAATTTACTGATTCGTAAATTATATGATTGATGGATTTTCATTTCTAACTCATCAAAAAAAAAAAAACATAATACGTCAATTAATTGCTCCAGCATGTAAGGGGCCATGCTTGGAGGGATGAAAGTTAAATAGGAATGTAATAACGATCAGTCAAATCGAAGTAGAAATGCGAACATTGTATATTATTCTTGTTTTACCTTTTATAGTATATCTCTTTTTTTGTCATTAAATTAAAGTATTGGTTGGATATTTCATATTCTAATAACAATCGTGAATAATATTAATATTAATATTAATAATAATATACATATAATAATAAAGAAAACATAGTACGACCTAAATGAAGCAATACAGTATGTGCAAATCTTTATCGTTATAAACAACAATACTGTATTCTAAACTGAATCGAATAATACATATCGCTAATATACATTTATACTGGATATATTATTGATCGGAAATATGAAAACACAGACAGTAGTAATAATAGACGAAACTCCTTGTACAAAGGAGGCATGACTAGTATTAAAAACAACGAACTCAATAAAAGATGTGATGCGTCATTGTTCTCTAATTTTTATACAAATGCACAAGTTTTCTTGTTTTCCAAATTTTTTTTTAGTTTATTGCCACTCTTCTTTTCGATAGTTCTCTCCAGCCTGCTACTGTCGTTATTCTATAGCGTGTTAATACATAGTGTGATATAAGAAAGGTATTAGGAGCAGGTTGAACCTGTGACATTCGTGCATATTTACATTTCATATCTAAATTTATCTTAGACTGAACAATGAGTAGACATCATCCGTATCAGCACCCATATTTGACTTCTGCTGGACGACCGTCACAGCTTTCTTCTTCTCCTGCAAGTGATAATATCAATAGTAACACCAACATTACTCCGCAATTGAGTAATAATATTAGTAATACGCATCTTAATTTATTGTCGGTGTCAACATCATCTTCTCCGCCGTTGAATCAACGTGAACATTTAAAAACTGCAAAGATCCCAACACACAAAACTTCTAGTTTATACTCTCTTCGCCCTGCAGTTGCACGTTCTAATTCTTACAATCAGCAGCAGATCCAAAATCTAGCAGCTGGCTCAGTAACGCCGAAGTCTATTTATGAAACTGCGCGTATATGCCTCCCAAATAACACGATACAGAACGTAAACTTGCCAGTTGTCCCACGTGAATCTTTGGAATTCCAATCGCAACAACAGCAACCACAGATACCACAAAACCTGACAGATTTGAATAGTCAACAAGTTGACTCGACTAATAATTATATACCTCAAGCCTTAACCAGTCAATATCCATTATCGTCATCCTATTATTCCTCTACAATTTACCCAGGTTTGTCTTCTTGTCCATCTCTTTTCAATATTTATGATAATAACACGATATAATGAAATTGATAATATAAATTTGCTTAATCACTATCTAACCTATATACAAATTCTCCACGATTCGGAAATATTTCCAATTCTTTTCAACAATTAGATACTTCCTTTCTCCTCGTTAATAATAGCACTTCTGAACAAGTTCAAAATAAAAGTCCAAGAATGAATCATGTGACTGGCCCTATTCGTCGTACTCCGATTATAAAACAACAATCCCTTGCTGCAGCGCCATATTCTACAAATGGTGTTCAAAAACAAAATCCGACTCTAAATGATAAAGTGTCGTCTCACCATATCTCCCAGTCTATTAAACCTATTGCAAATAGACATCACTCACAAATCACAAATAATGCAAATACGAATATGCAACAACAATCAAAATATACTACTGAACATTTATCGATAAGCGATCAAAGTATTGTCAATTTACCTGATGATACGATTATTCAAGAAAAGGGATTTGAAGACTTTTTAGTCAAAGTCGGCACTTACGAAAGTCTTGCAAAATCGTTTTCAAACGAACAAAATGATAACAGTTATAACAATAATATAAGCTCGACAAATGCCGCTTCAAATATAAATAACATAGAAACTACCAGTATGTCTACGAGTGATGAAAATTTAAATTCAACAATTAATCAACAAATTCTCGATAGTGAATTGATAACGGCAACAAATGATATTCATGGAATTATGGACTATTCATTTTTGGGAAATGAATTAGAAGAATACATCTTGTCTGAAGATGGATTTGACCCAATTCCGGATCTTAACGATAATAGCAATATAATAGAACCAAAAAAAGACATTGAAACGAATGATGAAAACTTAACTGCAAATCCTGAAAGATACAACAAAAATTATACGAATGAATTTTCGCTTACTGAACATACAATCGATCAATTAAATCATAATCTTCCTTCGACCAGTCAATTATCCGATAGTGAGCAATCACAAAATGAGGGCAACGGTAATTCACCAATATTAATCGCCAATGATGCAGAAGCTGGAAACGGAGAAAGCTCTCGCGCATCTAATAATGATGCTATTCTAGGTTTAGCACAATTTCTGCCAAGTAATAGTGAAGCGTGGGAAATAGCATCCGACAATAGTGGAGAACAATCTCAAACACATCAAGATCTCAATGACGGGGAAAGTTTCAGTGAATTCCAAAATTATCCTTTTCAAAATCTTTACCAAGAAATTCCAGCAACGCAACAACAACAACGACGACAATTACAACAGCAGCAAGCTCGATTAAATTCGCAAAGAGAAGAACCAAAGCCCCATGTTCTATTTCGCGATTTAGACCGATTTACGTTCTTTAGAGCAATGCGGGTCAGATTGGACACATTAGCAAAGTTTATAAAAGGATCATTTAGTAGTGAACGAAGTGAAGGAGTAGGTCTCTGGGAACGGATTTTTCCGTTGATAAAACAAGAATGTACGCATATTCAGCGACTAATTGACGCAACTGAATGGAAATCCTTAGATTTTCCAAAGAGTCGCGCTCAATTTCCATTAGAGCTCGTCGATTGCGAACTAATGAGAAAAAGATGTATACCGCAACATGCTGGTGAGTTCCAATACCCACTGCAAATAATAAAAGACGGTAACGACGGCTTTCGCGCAATCTCAATATTATTAAATGCCACCGAAATCGGGACAAACCGGGATAATTTCTACGAAGAGCTTCGTGTACGAACAGTTCTAACAATGATTAATAAACAAGATTCGACGCGAAGATTATTTGATTCACATCTTGATGAGGTTTCCATGAAAGGTGGCAATATCAAGCTAAACCAAATCGCTCGGGAATATTATCACGTGGAAACTTTAGAATTGATGGAATTATTAAAAATGCCATCCAAGTCGCCGGATTATGATACGATACTGTGGCAAATTGAAGCATTGCGTACTTGTATGGACGGCCAGCAAATCGGCGTGCCCCAGTTATTAACAATGGCGAATCTGTTAAAGGCAACAATAAGAATAATGTATCCCAATTATAACAATAAGAATTTCCGAGTGCCAATTAAGTGTAAAGGAAACTCGAAACGCATTTTTGTTATTACGATGTTGGATCCGGAGCGGGAAGCCGAAGAAGATTTATTAGATTATTTCATTACTCCATTAATTAGAAAAATTGATATTTTTGAAGTGATTAGAAATCCAGATCTATATTCTCTACAGTCTTCGGATAGACAAGAACAAATTCGGTCTTCATCATTAACAAATATTCTTTCTCAACGACAAACGTCTCAACAACAAACGTCTCTAAAATCAACACTACCACAAAACCATCATCAACATAATTATCAACTTCAATCACAACAAGTTCTGTTACAACAACAACAAAGAAATTCACAACTACAACAACAATCACAAACACATCAAAACATTAATATTAATCAGCAAAATATGCACACACAAATGGTAACACAAAATCAATTAATACAACAACCACAATATCAACTTTCACAACCACAAAATGGAAATTCTTTTAATAATATTACAATTAACACAACTAACACAATCAACACAACAAATGGACGAATAGACAAAGGGAAAGGGCGAGCTTATTAAAAACCGATTTCAAACAAACATTTAAAAGTAATCGTTACGATTTAACAAATTAATTAATTTTATAATACTTTTTCTTTGCTTATTATCGTTATATACCGATACGTAAATATTAGCTTTTTTGTTGATTAAGCATTTTTATGCATATGTTACGTAATTCCTATAAGATTTATTCACGTGTAAAATACTGTAGACATATTATAATTAAATTTTTAATGTTGGATATGAAAATAAATTGCATAACTTAAGACATAACTTATTCTAAATTCGAATTAACATTCGATGAATTTGATGATTCAAAATTCCACGAGGGATTGTCAACTACGTATCTTTCGACGAATGTTAGCTTCCGAAAATGTAGATAGTTTTAAAAATAACTTCAATATAAGGATAAGAATCGATTCTCTAGAATCGACTATAGTATCTTTATCACGTAGTATCTCTACGAATTCAATTAATCAAAGTACAACTTCAACTGTTTCAACGAAAAGGGATAAAATCAACATGCAATGAAAAACAAAACCAAAGACCGGTTATGTCATCGCCGTCGTCGTCGTTATGGCTGTCATCATCGTCGTAATTAGTGCTTGAGAATCGATTTTGGGTTGAGAATCGATTCTCAAATTGAAAATCGGTTCTGGGTTGAGAATCGATTCCTATCCCTACTTCAATAATCCAAGACATATGTCAAAATGAAATTGATGAAAGAACAAAAATTTCATTATCATCTATTATAAAGATGAATTGCTTGTTATCAATATCAAATAACATTCATTAATGAACTCACTATCTAATTTGTGAAGAGTTATATATTTAGAACTTTTTTTAGTTCATTATTTAAAATTAACCTGTTCACCAAAATTTTCTACCTTTACCCTGGCTTAAAAGTTGAAATAGATGAAAATGGATACAACTTCTCAATCAAAGTAGACATGGATGTTCTTTCACAATATCTAGCAGAAGTTAGAGCCATACCAGAATCTAGTGCAACTTCTAGAAACAGTTTTATACTCCTGGAAAAATCAATAATAGATAAATTGAAGAAAGCTAGAGATAGAAGAAGATCAGAAGCATCACCAATTTATCCATTAGAAGAAGCATCGTTATTAGCTTATTATGATAACTTGGCTAATAACAAATACACCACCACTTCAGTAATGTTTGAGATTGGAAGGATTATTTCCTTGATGATTCTTGACAAATCTCAGAGAACACAGAATTCAAAGACTATTTAAAAAGAATGTTTTCACAATTAACTTTAAATTCAGAGGATTAATGACAATAAGACTCTATTAATACTTTAAGAATAACAAACAGTTATTACAATATGATAAAGTAGACAAAATATTCAAATCTGGCAATGTTGGAAAGATAGATAAAAAATAAGTGATAATTTAAAAAGAAAATACATAATAAATTTATTAAATAATTTTTAATTTTATTTATAATTTAATTTTTTATCTTTAATTTTTAAATTTTATTTTTATTTTTATTTTGTATTCCTTCAACAGAGCTCAGAAATTATGTGGAGGAATATATTATAGTATATTTTGTTTGTTATATATATTATTTAGTTTATTTTTATTAAACATTTTATATAGTATATTTTATTGGATAATATTTATTTTTAATTTTATTGATTAGTTATTTTTGGACTTATTGTTTACATATATTGTATATCAATATAACAGATATATTGAACCTTTGATATTTTGAACTGTTAATTATTAGAGATATTAAATTATTGATATTTTAAAATATTGATCTTCAGAATTATAGAGATTTTGTTAGTTTAGTATTATAGATATTTAGAGATTTTTGCAACAATCAATTTTATATATAAGTAATAGTTTACTTGATAGCAAAAAGACAAGTTAAAAATCACAAGTTAAAAGTAAGAAAATAATATAACAAGTTCTTAATAATGAATTCACTTATTAAATATCTTATAATTATCTTTTGATTCTTGGTATAATTTTGATTATAGACTTGAAATAGTCTATATAATATTATTATTCTTGTATTATATACTTGTATAGTTTATGTGCAAAGCACCAATTGAGGTAACAATAGTGAAAAGTATAGAAATAAAGAAAATTTATTAATAAAATCTATCATAATTATAATGTATAACTTTCTTAATAATAAACTTAACTTGATCCATTATTTTCTCTTATAATTATAAGAAGAGATTTGTTAAAGATCTTCTGCTATACAAATACTATTAAAAAAATTAAAATAATAATATAAAAGATGAAGATAAAAATTATTATTCACTTGTAGAAAATTACTTAGAAAATTATCATTTCATAAAATCATCTATAGTTTCAATATTCCCATTCAAAATTAACAGTTCTGACTGAAAAATATATGATCAATCCAGAAGTAATTCTAGAGATCAGTTTGAATTCAATCAAAATCACAGTTACAAAATTACTTGATCTTTTCAATCTTAGTCAAATAATCAAGAAAGTTATAAAAGAGAAAGTGAGTTAAAAGAATAATTAAAGATTTTCTAGTAGATCTTTAATAAAAATGACAAGAATAATGAATTGAATGTGATCAGTATCTCTGAAACAATGACAACAACAGGAACTGGCAAAAATGATGAAGATAATAGTGAAAATGATGAAAATGACAATAAAAGTGAAAAAAATAGTGAAATGAACTCTCTCTCACTCTTAGTAATAAGTAGAATGATTGATGCTAATAGTCTAAAATTCAGCAAGAAAAAAATTGCTGCTATAAACTATCAGAAAATGGTGAAGTAACATTTTTCCAAGAGCAACATGAAATTTCAAAGAACATCACCATTATCTATAATAAAAATATATATCAAAGCAATAGTAATACTTATCATTATAAAAAAGACAAGGAAAAGATAACAGACACATCAAAATAATTATCTGAAGGCTTGCAAAATTTTCAAAAACAATAGTAAAACTGTGACACTTCACTGAATGAAATGCATGATGAGCAAGTACACTCCCCATAAAAAATTAGAAAATAAAATGTATAACTCACCTAGAAATAATGAAATAGAAAATAAATTAAAAGAAAATCTATCTATACAATAAAATTATTATTATTATTAAAAATAAAAGAAGTGAATTTAATTTCTATCTAACTAATTAATAATTATTATATATAAATTATTATTCTGGTAATATAAATCTCTAGTATTATAATGACATCATGTAAATTATATAACCAAATACTGTTGTATAGTAACTTAATATAATAATCAGCTCACTTATAATAACTTAAAAACTTAGTTCCTTAAAAATTTTCTTTAATAATTAAAACTATAATTATTTTTATTATTTTATCACACTATTTTTTTATTTATATATTATTATCCAAAAGTAAATGATAAAATAATATTATTTATATTATTATTATTCCTTATTTATTATTTATTATTTATTTATTTACATTTATAATAGATAATAAAAAAATCTAATTGTTAATCAATTAAATTATTATTAACTCCTTTTTTTATTATATTTTTTTATCATATTTTTCTTTATAAAAGAATATTTATTTCATCTTTTTATTTATTTTATTTTATTTTTATTAAACTTTGAATAATTATTCTTCTTTTATTATTACTTAAAAACGCAAATTTTTTTATATATAAAAATTATTATTATAACTAATTCTCTAACTTAATTCACTGAGGTATTAATTTAACATCACTTGAATTTTGTAATAGATATTCTTCATTATCATGAGTTCTAAATTCAAGTAGATAATTTTGTAATATAGGTGTTCAACCAATATCTATCTCAGTAAGTTAATAATTTGATCCAGTTGCTTTAGAATTGTGACATTGTGCAACTTCTTCTATTCTATTAATTTAGAATAGGTAACATTACTATTAATAAATATTTTCTTTGTATTTACTTAATATAATAATAGTTCTATAACAATATAGTATTGATATTCTATAGCAATCTGATTGAGTATCTAATAGTATTGTTACCATAGTAACATAAATTTCTCTAATTCGATAATCTTTCTTTGATTATGCGAAATTCCCTTTTTCTTAATTTTTATAAT